TGGATGGATGGATGGATGGATGGATGGACAGATGCTGGATGGGCAACTTACATTTTCATTTGCTGAAATTCCAACACTGTTCCAATGCTGTATTTTTTCATTCCCACCATGCCAATGGTTTTTCAGGTGTGTTGCAGAGGATGAGGAAGCCACACTGCGGAGTTTGCACCAGTTCCTCCACCACATTAAACACCTCAAGGTGGTGTTTGATCAGTCTGAGGAGGTGATCCGGAAGAATGTCTCCCAGATTCTGGACCTACTGGCCAAACAGAATCACAAGCTGCAGGCCCTGTGCATTGAATGCGAGGGAGAAAACCCTTATTTCTACTCTGGCCAAGACATCTTGCAGAGCATCCGGGGGATCTGCCTGAGCCAGAATAAAATCAACCTTCAGCATATAGATTTCCGGAAAATGCCCTTTACTCTGGACGATGGGATCGTTCAGCTTGTGGCCTCCAGTAGTCCGAATCTGCACACCTTGTACCTTAACAACCGCACCTTAGTTTGCAATGTCACCCCTGAGACCATCATTGAGCTTCTGAAGGCTTGCCCCAAATTGTCTACCCTGGGGGTCTATTATGCCAGCCTCTCAGAGGATGTGTTTAAGGAACTGGTGAGGCTCAATAGGAGAGTTTTCAAGTGCCTGGATATTTTCTGCGAGCGTCTGGACAAATACATTCCTGTAATCCCGGAGGAGCTTTGGGCTCTGGTGCGTGAGAAATATCCCCAGCTCCATGTGCAACTTGAATTTGACCACACTGTCCCAGCATGGAAGATACCTCGCATCTTGAAGCCAAACATCCCAGTGACAGAGTTGCAGCTTAATACTTACACATACATTGTGAATCAAATTCGTTTTGTCACCAGCAGCTACAGCAGCACTTTGGAGAGGCTGGTCCTTCGCACCACCTCATCTGATGAACTCAATGACTCGCTCATGGATTTGGCCCGAAAATGTGTGCACCTGAAAGAGATCCACTGTTTCTGTGTGGTTAGCCATGCGGTGGTAGATGCTTTCCTTTCAAGCTGCACCAATTTGAAGAGTTACACTCTGAAGACCACCAAAGAACGCAGCCCTTGGCGACCAACAACCATCCTGTGATTTCACTTGAGGGTTTTACCTTCACAAGAAGATGGAAGTCGGTAACTCAGCTCAGCTTCTTCTACTAGGTTCTTCCGTGGTTTGTTTATCACGTGGTCCAAGGTGTGATCCCAACTCGTTTCTCCAAAGTGAAACCAAAGTCAAGAATGGACTTGCTGTTTCTTGAGAGCTCTAAGTCCTTGTGTGTGTGTGTGTGTGTGTGTGTGTGTGTGTGTGTGTGTGTGTGTTTTGTATTGCTACTTAGGCCTGGGTCTGCATGTTACACTAAGCTATGGCTTGTTCAACCATGGGTTATTGGCTAAACCACAATCTGCTGGACATAACCATAGTTTACAGGCTATACTGCCTAGGTGTGCACAATTGACAAAGCTAGGATTGGCAGATATCACAGAACATTGCCAGTATGTGGAATCTCCAGACCTTGCAAATTAAGTATATATTTTGGCAGCAAAAATATCTTCTCCCACAAGATTTCAACATTCCCACTTCAGGTTACATGAGGTCTTGAGATTGAGGCAACAAAAATGTGAAGGGCTTTTAGAATTATTTTTAAATGTCCACATAATGGTGAGGGCCGTCTGTGCCTTCACCCAAGATGGTGAAATGACACAAAGTATCAGAAAAGTCAACATCGAGGGAAGTCAGATATACAGGAGTCCATTTGGAGATCTTTATGTGACACCCGAGCCCAACACGGTTTGTATGGTTTTGGCTTAGTATGTTTTGCAAACCCTATGGCAGTTTCTAAGCCATGTTTTATGGCTTAGGGTATTATGCAAACCCAGCCCATTTGGATCAGGAAACCTTGGCAATGCCAACTAGGGTTCAGTGCAATATATGAACTCAGACTTACTGTCTTGTATGAATGCAATCATGGGGAGAAGGGCAGTTTAGTTGACACAAGAACATGATGTCTGCAGGATAGGGTAAGGGAGGGCATGCAGTGCCACACATATCATGACATCATTGTGCAAATGATGTCAATTATGCAATTTGCATTATTTGTGCAATGATGTCATAATACATGTGATGTCATCACAGCTTTTCCTCGACACCTATGGTTCCCGTTCATCTTTTCTCTCTAGCACAGTGTTTCTCAACCTTGGCAACTTTAAGACCTGTGGACTTCAACTCCCAGAATTCCTCAGCCAGCAAGGCTGGCTAGGGAATTCTGGGAGTTGAGGTCCACAGGTCTTAAAGTTGCCAAGGTTGAGAAACACTGCTCTAGCGGGATGAATGATGGAGAACTGAGTGAACTATCAGGACTAGTGTGCTCAGATATGCCAGAATTCTCAGCAAATCTGGATTGTCATCATGTGCAAATGCTCCCCTCTTCTCAGCGAGCAGGAGTGCACGCTTTTGGCTGTACAAACTGCTGAGTGTATCTTTAAAAATCTGATGAACTTTCCTAACACGTAGCTCCAAGTCAAGCGAAGTGCTGATCGAGTTGTCAGCGTGGATAGTACAGAATACAGTGCTTTTCAACTGAATTCATTTCTGGAGTAAACAAACACCAGGGTAAAAATAAATTCCACAAATGCAATTCAAGCCAAATTAAACCCATTATTTCTGAGCAGCGTGAGCAACACATATTTTTAGTTTGTTTATATAAATATTTACGTCCACCTCTTCTAAAGCATATCCATGATATCTCTTTTTCCGTGGCACTGGACCTAGGTTAAAAAGAATAGTTTGAGTTGCTGATTTGTATATTTTCCCCACTCTTGTTTAATTATGATGCAATGGATATTCTATTTTATTATCCTAATTCACAATAAATATTTGCAAACTAAACCCCAGCATTTTAGCATTTTACTGAGCTGGACTTATCTGCTCTGCACTGCACCGTGCATTATAATATGCGACAGCGTGATTTATTTGAATTTGGTATACATACAGCCCATTGTGACTTATTCAGTAAACATGGTAAAAACACATTACAGGGTTTACAAACCACAGTTGCTTGATTCGCACATCATGCTAAGACAAACAGCTTATGGCTTAGTTCAGTGTGAATATAGCAAATTGTGAATTCCTCAGCATGTTGTGTTTAGGATGAATGATGATTTAGTGCAACATGTGAACCAACCACCATGGCTGTTGCTGAGAATTTGGGGGAGCAATGCAAGGGTTCACACACGTAGAGTAAGTATATCATGTTTAGGGAAGGCAATTTTAAATAATAAGGTGGGGGAAACCAGGCACAGCCCAATTCTTTCCAAGAATTAATACATTTAATTTTACATTTACATTAATAACAGCCCTGAGCCACCTCACATGACCAGAAAGGAGGCTTAATCCCAGGAAAGACTGTTTAGCTTTTCCCTCTTGTGTTTTTCTATATTATTTTTAAAGCATTAATTTAATTTATGGAATTTGCAGCCAGATGGTTCAGCCGTGACAGTGGTTGGTTGGCTGTAAAGAAATAATCAGACAAGTCCTGGAGGATAGACGGATGAAGAGTTACTACTAAATGGAGCATCCAGAGTCAGCAGAAGTCTACCTTTGAAAACTGGTTGCAGGGGAGCAAGGAAGGCAGATAGCTCTTGTCCTGTTTGTGAAGTTTCCGGAACGTGATTGTTACTGTGGTGAGACACAGTTGTGCCTCCTTAAGCGTTTGTATCCTGGCTTTCTATTAATTCAAACTCAAGAAAGCTTGTAAAGATAACATTACCAAAACTTAAAAAAAAAACCCCAACATTATATTTAAAACATAACATGTTAAGAGTGTTTTATTGCAGCA